CAAGGCAGCTACTAAATGCAGGAACTGTGCAGGGCCGCACAGATCAGACAGCCGAAGATGCTTGGCTCGGCCTACAAAATCTGGTCCGCCCACAAAAGAACAGCTTGTGACCATTCGACAAGCTAGCCAGCGGGAATACAGCGCCGTGGCCAGAGCAAAAGCGGCTGTAAATCTAGCAAACAAAGCATCAGCTAGTGCCATCAAGAGCCAAGAGATCCTGAAAAAGACGGCTACCAGCATAGACGCACCAGATGCAGCCATGGTTGATGTGTCAGGTATGGGGTTCTAAACCCCGAAGAAAATTTGTAAGGGCCGCCCACAGGCCCCAACTTGCGCACTTTCTACCCTCATATACATGTCAATAAACGTTGGTAGAAGCGGCGCAACCCACGACATTGCACTTTCCCGGGCTCACGAGCTAGGTGTAGATGTTGTACATATACAGGAACCTTCGTGGGATAGAAATATGAAGGATACTAGGTCGCACCCAGGATATAATAAACACATACCCCATGGAGTCGTGGATATCAGACCAAGAGCGGCAACATACACTCGAAAAAGCAAGGTAATAACTGCAACGCAGACATTTCCCTGTGCTACATTAACAGGGGACTACTGCTGGGTAGTGGTTAACGGAGTCACATTTCTAAATGTGTACAAAGCACCAAACAACCCAGTGTCTCTACGACCACTTGTGGACTGGACCCCATCGGCAAAGACTATTGCTGTAGGAGATTTCAACTCAGTTCACAAGGCATGGCAGCCGGGGGCAACTCGCCCACATGGGCAAGGGGAAGCGATAGAAGAATGGGGCGACAAACACAAACTTTCCTGCCTTATCATTGGAGAACCAACACACAGAGCAGGGAACACACTGGATCTTGCCTGGTCCAATATTGACGGAACTCTCGCGTGGTCAGACCGCAGCGAATGTATGACAAGCGATCATCTACCGATCAGAGGTCAAGTGCCAACTACATTCAAAGCTCTAGATACTGAGCCGCCCAAAATCAGGGTACGACCAGGCGACCTGCCGAATTTCGCTCGAGCTGTTGCCCAATGGGCCCATCCTCCACCGAAATTCGATACAATAGACAAGGTGGAAAAATACGCTCAAGAACTATGCTCCCATCTATCCAATGCTATCAAGGCTACGGGCACTTTAGTTAAAAACGGACACGGAAAACACTCCCCATGGTGGACGCCCAAATGCAAGGCAATCCATGCCGCATATCGAGCAGAAACTATACCCCAACACCGGGCTACCCACGCGAAATTGCTGCGAGAGGCTATTGTCTTAGCAAAGAAAGATTACGTCACAGGAAAAGTCCAGAAGATGACTACAGCCATGGATGTTTTTAAGCTGTTGCGTTCGGCCAACCCTAGGTAGTTCAAAACACCGCCGCCCCTCAGCCACAACAGCTCACTCGTCTCAGACCCGGCTGAAAGAGCAACAATACTCCGAGACGCCCTTCTCGTGCGCCATGAGTCAACAGATGACCTCTCTCCATGCACAACGCCAAGCGAAAACAGGATACCCTGGAATGACGACGTCTCAGAAGACGAAGTCCGTACATGCACCATTGGATGCAAGAAGACAGCACCAGGGGCAGATGGAGTTTCAGTAGAGCTCCTCGAAGCCTGCTGGAAGACAATTGGCTGATGGGTGACGCAACTGTTTAGGGCCTGCATCCGCCTCGGCATACATCCAGCATGTTTCAAGTTGGCAGAAGTAGTCCTTTTACATAAGCCAAATCGAGACCCATCGATGGTCAAAGGCTGGAGACCGATCGCTCTCCTATCATGCCTGGGTAAGGGTCTAGAGAGGCTACTGGCAAAAAGAATGGCGCGTCTGGCAGTCACACACGAGGTAGTGGGTCATCAACAATTTGGTGCGCTCCCAAAGAGATCTGCAACAGATCTGGTCTCCTGCGTGGTACACGACATTGAAGAAGCTAGGTCGCAAGGATGGGCGGCTACTTTCATTACCTTGGATGTACAGGGAGCGTTCGATGCGGTGCTTCGCAATCGGTTAATCAGAAGAATGCAGTCACAAGGATGGCCGGACTCAATTTTGCGGTGGACAACCTCTTTTCTTGCTAATCGACGAGTTCAGGTAAGGTATACGGGTGGGGTCACAACAGAAAGAGAATTGGTCTGCGGGGTCCCACAGGGGTCACCGATATCTCCACTTCTATTCCTTCTGTACATGGCAGAACCCATGCGGGATGGGAATCCGGGACGAAGGTTTAGCTACGCCGATGACGTTGGTGTTCTTGCTTTCGGCCGCACAATAGTAGATTCTGCCTCGGCCGCCCAAGAAGAGGTAAATCAACTGACCAGTTGGGCGAAAAATAACGCTATAGCCTTCGACACAGATAAGTCCGAAGTAATCCAATTCCCTGGGCGCCATCGGGAGATAGGAATAGGCATACACGTCAATAGTACCTTTATTGAACCATCGGAAAATGTTGGCTGGCTAGGAGTTTATCTGGACCCTCGGCTCAATTTTAAACACCATGTGACAAAATGGTGCGGCAAAGCTTCCAAAGCTGCTCATCATATGCGTCGTTTTAATTTTACTTACCGAGGTGCTGCCTCAGATGCACTGATAAGAGCGGTTGACCTATGTATCATCCCTGTCGCTACTTACGGCTCCGAGGTGTGGTGGCCAGGCCTGAAGCGACCAACTCAACGCGGAGTCAGCACTTCACAAACGACTGGCCTCTGCAGCATGATTGACAAAGTCATCAGCACAGGATTACGGGCGGCACTTCCAGTAATGAGGACTACGCCCACAGTAGTGCTACAGCGAGAAGGAGGGATCCCGCCGGCAAGAATCATTCTCGAGGGGAATCGACTTCGCCTATCAGCAAGGCTCAAATCCCTTGACTCCGGACATCCTCTGAGAAGACGAGCTGCTGTCTGCCCTAATATTGGGACAAGAAAGTACAAGAAACATGATCGTCAATCAGCACGACCAGAGATTCAAATGTCTCGAATCCAGCGTGCTTATCAACAACTCCCAGAAGCTCAATCCGCCGAGCCTTTACCGGCTTTGGCCTATCTCAGTAAGGTAAGCGCGAAAGAGAAAGACACGGAAATTTGTAAACGCTGGATAGAGAGTCTACCAAGCTCAGTGATCTGCGCCTACTCTGATGGGGCAGCAGAAGGACACGGTCGCTCGGCGTGGGCTTTTGTCTTGAAAAGAGACGGAAAGACCATAGATAGAGATTCCGGTACCATACATAGGGGGGAGGTACTGGACGCTGAGATAGTCGGAGTAAGGAAGGCTCTAGAGGCGGCATTGCGAATAAGTGGGCTGGAATCTCGGACCCCAGGAAAAGTGGCGGAACCTATCTACGTGCTGACCGACAGTCAGCATGCAAGAACCGCTATGCTGTCCGGAGACACATCGACAAGCATTAAAGAAGCCCGAATATTTCGGACAATGACACAGGCTGCTCCCGAAAGAATCATCGTAAAATGGGTTCCAGGACACAAGGGCATTCAAGGGAACGCAGAAGCAGATGCTGCAGCTCGGAGCAAACTCCGCAGTCTCCCCCTCCGAGATGAGGAGCCGCAAAATATCAGCAGTGCATACCTCTACCGGCTTATGAATTAGAAGAGACAGATGCTGCTAGACCAATTCTGGGACGAATCATGCCCACCTAGATACCGCGAACTAGACTTGATGATGCGCCGGAAAAAGCCACCGGAACTATCACTTCCACGACGACTTCTATTTGAAGTCATCGCGGCTCGTACCGGTCACGGAAATTTCGCCGCGTACCACAGACGTTTCAACAACCCAAACGCGAACATGAAGTGTTCGTGCGGAGAGGAGACTACAGCAACGCATTTCATGCATTGCAGACTCCACAATCGTCATATCCGACGACTAAGGGGAACTACCCCATACCAACAATTTCTTAAATTTCTTCTAGGGCCCAAATGCCTCAAAGAATTTTCAACGTTTGCGCAGGAAACTGGCTGCTTCAAAAGCCAACCTGCGACCTTGTCCACAGCTCTCAGCATGGACGAAGAATAATATTTATGGTGGAAACCGTGAAAGGGAAGGAGTCAGGGTGAGGAGCGCTGATACTGGACCGTTAAATTGGAATTTCCTTTGTTTATTAATTTTGACTGTTAGAATTTGTTTTGTTTTAAACCGGCTACAATTTAGGTAGTGGTTTCACGCGGTTGGAATGAGTTGGGCTGTGGTAAAGAACACAGGGATCCCTTCCGGCTCCACCGGTCTTGTACCCATAGCGGACCGGGAGCAGTAGCTTAGGACCTTAAAATTACAAACAAACAAAAACACGAACGTGTAGTTCGTGGAATTGGCTGAGTCATCAAGACAATGACTCAGCAACTGAGAGATGCACTACGCTTAGTGCAGAGCAAATTGAACTACTTTTCGACACTTGTATAATATAACCTTTAGGCCTCATGGACCCATATATAGAAGCTGAATAAGACAGTAAGCAACAAGATATGTGTAAACTTTTGCTTTAGATTAATTATCAATACCAAAGATTATAATTTTGCTACTTGATAGAATATCAACATGTACTCAAGTCTTATAAGTTTGAGCTACATCAAGATTTTTGGGAATTATATACTATGGATACAGTATGATTAGAGTAGTAAATTTGCACGTCTAGGCTCTATTTTAGACGTGGTATTTTTTGTATTGAGCATATGGGCTTCTTATTTAATAGTTTGATTTATCCAGTTATAAATCATAGAGCCTAGTATCCTCTTTAAATTGATGTACGGTTTCTTGCTCAACTGGATGTACCAATTATGTCGAGTGGTTTTAAAATATCTTAATAAGATAGTATATATTACTAAAGAATACCTGAAAAGGATAGCAGCAAGAAAATTATTAACTCCAACCGAAACCTCCAAACTTATTTAAAAATCAAAAATTTTCTCTTTCGTTTTATTATAGTTACATTTCTTCTTTGTTAATGACTTGAACTAATTATTTAATCATGATTCTCGGTGGAATATTCTTTCTATTGACTGCTCAAATGCTCAAGGCATCAATTTGGCACAGAACAGAAAACTCAGCTAGCTTATCACCAGCTGGTATAATTTATCTTGTGAATCAAAGTTAGGTATATTGCTGACATTAACTCCAGAAGTTTCATCAGCTGTATCAGGCTCCACAGGTTTTGACCTAGTTGAACTTCTTGAACCAACTTTACCTCGTTCTCAAATCTATGAAAAGGCTTCTTTGGAGCTAAAGAGATTAAGTGGACAGCCAATTTGTAATCGAGTGGCGGCCAAATTATTGATCAATAATTGCAAAAGTCTGAATGAAATTGACGAACAGAACTACCATAGTAATCGTGGACAACTACAACAAGATCAGGTTGATGCATTCGCAGCAACCCTGACAATGTGTGACATGGAGAGAGCTAACTTTAACATTCCAACCTCCTGTATTATGTTCACTAGTAATAGCTTACTTAGGGCAGCGGATATTCACAAGGAACTTAGATTTTCTTCTCATGAAATAAATGAGTGCTTGCAAGGCCTCGGGAAAAACTCTAAGCACTGGGCCACTTGGCTAAGTTATAGGGATTCAGCATTACTTTTCTGTCGAGCAGCTCGCCTGAACATCGAAAGAGGTTTCTATTACATATAAATAGTGATTTATGCTAATCCTTGATTTAGATGAATCGATCTCGGTGCACCAAAATCTGACTCTGATATTAAAGGAATTCACGAGTGACTTATACCTAGACCTGCAGAGTTTGAGGTCTAAAGTTGCAAGAAATGTGGATTCAATTGAATCTAAGTTTAAGACACTTGATTCCAATTCTTTAAATTGGAAATTGACACTTGACAATATGCTAAAAGAGGTACTCGAGAGTATAAACGTTGGTTCAAACTTTCGTTCTTGGAATAAATTTACTAAATATAGTCGAAGGGCTTCCATTTGGAGGTTGAAAATATTACAAAGGAGAGTATTAGAGCTCGTATCGGGGTCGAAAAAGTTTTTTCAGCAATACTACAAAATAATGCACAAATGGTAGCAAAACAACGCCAGGAAATGGAATTCGCAACCAGTGAAAATATCCAAAATTTAAAGGCTCTTAAGAAACTTTTTTCTGATTCAGATCTGCATGCTATGACTTTAAAAACAAAACTGGTTAATTTGCCACATATTTTATCAATATAATCTAATGTGTGTGATAGATTGAAATGCAAAACTTGATGGTAGGGTTTCAAACCCGACAAGATATAGCCGAAAGGGTAAGTAAAACTTTTGTCAATCTTTCGGAATAAAGAGCAATCCGAGGACCACTTTTGAATGAAAAGTTCTAGCCAGCTGGAATAGCACTTGATATGTGCTTGAATTCCTCAAACTAGTGCTATCTTCATGAATGTTTTCATGTTAGGGATACGTTTGAGTATAAAAGATATACTAGGAGTTTCATATATACTCGATTAATAGAGACTATCTTGGCAGTAGTTACATTTATCTGTACGCTTCAAAGCATCTAACAATGCAACATACCTATTCAGAAATTCACTTTTGGAATACACATCAACAAAAATTTTCCAGAAAAAGGCAAAACCATCCTCACCTTGTTTAAATTTATTAACATAAATATTTTCTTGAAAAGCTAACCTGGGCCCTAGCGAGCACAAGAAATCTTTACTCATCTTGGAAATATCAGCATGCTGTTGCATGATTACGCGCGGGACCTCGAGCAAACAAATTTGGCGGCAAGGGATACTTTTAACTTATTGAGGTTCCCTTTTTTAATTATTTCTTTAAGTCGGGGGCCTTTGGAATTGAGACTCATTTGGCTTATATTACTTGTAATTGCTGGTAGTTCAACAGTTTTGATGACCAAGAAGCGATTCGTTAATTCATCTATGGCTGCAAACCTAATTTTGATATTCTTCGGTAGGTTTTTGTGGCTTTTATCGATATTACTTTATCTAACTTGACAAAAAGGATTTCTTGTTGGGAACTTGACTGTATCAATGATGCACTGGCAGTGGCAGTGGCAAGATTGGATTAACATTTTTCTACCATCTTCTTTGGCAGCTTTAAGTCATATCAAGTCTACAAATAATTCCTTAGTAGACTTAGATTCCAACATATCATCTACAACATAATCGCAACTATCTTTGGAAAAAACTGGAAAGACATCTATTCAATGCATTCTGATGAGAAATAAAAAATATATCTAATTGCTACAAAATATTTCGGTGGTGGGTTTCTATTTATTCATGAAGATGATTATTTGCTGGTTTGGCGTTGGGTGAGGAGCCACCGTAAAATTATTCGCACTCTTGCATAGCTCATTCTACTATTGAAAGCTTGCGGAAATTATGCAGCTACTGCTTTTGCATTAAATTTAGAGACAGAATAACCCAAATAACAATTAAGCCTGTAATAAGTTTCGATAAAAAAGATAAATTAAATAGTAGATTTCAAATGACATTTGAGCCTGCGCAAAAACTGAAAACAATATGTTCGTTGACAAGAGATAAAATTTTTAATGTTATAAGAACAATAACTTACTTGAATCAATTTACGAGTACAACTTGTGTAAAATGTAGAGCGATGGAATGGGTGCGCTGCTCGCGGATAGTTGAAAATGTGTAGTACTCGGCTTTCTGCTAAATGAGTCCGGGATGTGTGCCATTGGCACAAGTGTAAGCCACAAAGAGCCTAAGTTACAGTGTTTTCTAATTTTTTCCCGTCTATGTTCCACCTTTATTTTTTTGCACCAGATTTTAATTGCGTATGCAGCTATCTAGCTATGACACTACATCAGAGAAGTGTGTAATAGATGACTCAATATAAACGAAGAGCTCTCATGCCTCGGATTTCATTTGTAAGTACCACTGCGAAGTTATGGTGGCTTGTTCTTCACTTCAAGTCAGCCCTAATCCGTGAAAACCCACCCAGGGAAACCTCTCAAAAACCCTGAGTTGTCTAGACATGCCTCCATCATTCATTAAATCTTCTCCGCGTGAAATGTGAACGGATAATGGAGGCATGTCTAGACAACTCAGGGTTTTTGAGAGGTTTCCCTGGGTGGGTTTTCACGGATTAGGGCTGACTTGAAGTGAAGAACAAGCCACCATAACTTCGCAGTGGAGGGCAAGACTGAACACCTGTACGCGGTGTCCTCTACGAACCTGGGAGTGAAATATTCTCCCAGAGCCAAGTTCAGCCAAATTTTGCAATATTAAAGAAATTGGCCCACGAGGCAAAATTTAAAATCACTCCACCACGTCGTTTTTCCGCTCCCAACGAGTTTGACGCCTACCTCAGTCTCATCAAGTCTACAAGTACGACCTAGTACATCCTCATTCCAATGACCATACCTCTCTTCGACCTTCTCTGGCTTCAGCTGGTCACCAAATACACGGCCACGCCGATATTTATACCCGACGGAGGAAGCAAAGCGTGGCGCACAAATCTGGAAGACAGTTCTTTGGGATGGACGTGAGAGGAATCAGGACAAGTTTACAAGATGATGCGGAGGAAGGATATAACTTCGAAGGGCGTGAAATTCCGAATTTTGGCAAGGAGTTTTACGAATTGAGCTTTGTGCACGCCAAGACTTCGCTTGCGAGAGTGCAGCTGACACTAAAAAAACAAGCCGACGATGGAAGGTGTTGTGATCCGCCTCCTGGTGATGTTCTCTGGTATAGTTTGAGTAGCCTGGGCACCTACTCCACTTGGGAAGGAGACATCTCAGATCATATTTCGCGCGGAGAGAAGTTGAATGATGATGGAGGCATGTCTGGATAACTCAGGGTTTTTGAGACGTTCCCCTGGGTGGGTATTCACGTATGAGGGTTGACTTGAGGTGAAGAAAAAGCCACCATAACTTCGCAGTGGTACTTGCAAATGAAATCCGAGGCATGAGTGCTCTTCCTTTACGTTGAATCATCTATTCTGTACTTTTCTTTGATATTGTGTCATAGCTAAATAGCTGCATACGCAATTGAAATCTGATGCAAAAAAAAAAAAGATCTATGGTCTAATTTGTAGCTTTGATTGTGGTTGTAGTTGCTCATTCCGGATATCCCAAAGAGTTGACCAAGTTCATTAATTCAAAAATTGTGGTACCTACCGATGCTTGAAATACATTTTTGATCTAATAATAAGCTACTGCTTGTATTGCTCAAATCTTGGCTACAATCTACAAATAATTACTCCAGCGCATTTTAATTCTGGAAGCCATTAAAAAGGGAGTCTATGAAAATCCTTCTTGGGATAGAATCTCCCTCAACCCTGAGAAGGCTTGTGATGGAACATGCTTGAAATTGATATGGATCAAATTTGATGGCGAGTCAATTTCCCCCACTCTTATTCCTCCATCGGTAAGTGTGGTTATTATTCTTCTTCCCTTGGAGGTGCATATTTTAAGCTGTATAAATTTTCTTGTTACTATGCTGCAACGAATTTCAATTTATTTCCAGGGTGAACATTATTACACTTAACTGCTTACGAAAGTTAATCCACACTTTGTTGTGCCTGCTAGTGTTTAAAACGAAAAAGGCATGATTAAATAATGGTCATGCCTCGATACTTGTATCTCTGAGTAAAAAGACGACGCCATCCTCACTTTTTTTGCATTTGTAGATAGCGATTCCACCTCCACCTGTACATTAAACCATCGCCGACCCGTCTTTTAAAAATTTATCAACTTATTTTCTTGAGAGTGTCCTAGTTGTCGAGAATTCTCCGCCATTTCCAAACTCTACGACCTAGGCCGCGATGAAGCTTTACCTTTCAAAGTTATTAACACTTGCCCTTTTTCTCGTGGAGCCGGCAGCAGCCGCTTGGAGTTACGACTGCAAAAGAATTTCTTTCGCAGAGAGTGATGTAGAGAAAGCGATTGCTCTAGCAGTCGAAAATGGGGTACCAATGGTGGAAGTCAAAAATCTTCGTAGACAATCACGATATAGGGTCTTTCTTGAATCGATTTCTGGTAGTCCTGGTGTGTCAAGTTAAGATCCATAATCATCTTTCAACTACTAACACTTGTGTATGAAAAACTTGCCAAATTTATGCAACAATAACACCGAACAGCCACGATATTGTTAAAATTCAGCGTTTTAATCAAGACAATGAGTGGGAAACATGCGATCATAAATGGAACACTACCTGAACAACGCTGTATGCCATAGATTCCAGGGGGAAACATGCTCTTCGTGTAGGTACGGAGAGTTCTAGTGAGTCCCGAGAAGTTTCAATCTCTAGGACATGCTAAGAATTTCACTGTATATATGTTATAAAATTGAGGACAAAAAAATCAAGCATTTTCGGTAATCTGGAGTTTGGTACTACAATTTAATGTATTGTTTATATTTCACTAATCAATTTTAAGTGGTTCTGGCCGAGTGGTTACTTTTTTTTTGCATCAAATTTTAATTGCGTATGCAGCTATCTAGCTACGACACAATATCAAAGAAATGTACAGAATTGACCATAGATCTTGCTACTGCGCAGTATGGGAATCCTTGCTGGTCGATATGTCTGATACAGTCCAGGGAAAGTTTGAACTCTCGCTTTGAGCGGCAGGATTCCGGCTTCCTCTCAGGAACCATGATAATATAGACATGGACTATCAAACAAGGGGAAGGATTCTGCAATATCTGAAGCTGTAATGGTAGCTGGAGAAGCGCTCATCTCATATTAGCATGCGTCACTACATCGATCCATCAAGATCTCGTGACAGCTCGTCGTGAGACACTCTTATCCTTCACATCCACAGTTTCCAAGATATTTATTGGCGTCTCGCAAAGTTTTCTTTCAACTCATACTCGGCAGGAAGAACCTTTCTTGTTTTTTGACCACTGTACACGCCGATAACTTTGAAAGTTCTTAGAAGCAAGGCTAAATTAGGTTTGGAAGTTCTCTCTCTTTTCAGAACTTTTCAAAATCCCCTTCTCACAAATGTTGATAAGTTCTTGGGCGCAAGTCAAGAAATTCGTTGGGAGGAATCGATGAAGGTGGTATGTGGGAAGCAGGATGTGTCTTTAGTACATATCCAAAAGCCCATAGTGTTCGCCCACTTGGTCTTTCGGGACATTTTGAAGCTGTAGCTTTTCCTTGGATCAGTTCCAGATTCTGTAAAGAAAAGGCCAGCATCCACTGTATTTCACAAGTTCCCCAGCTATACGATACCATTGATTGATCTTTGTAGTGTTGGAAATTCACACCCGCTATGTTTGAAGTTTCCTTAGGATTGGAACAACAAAGATTTTTACATCTGACTCACGACCAGAATTAATGAAAATCGCTTCATTGAGCATGTTTGATGAATGAGACTCGACTGAACCACGGTGTGATGTGATACCCGGTGGGTAGATTTGTTAGGAGACAGGGGAATGGAGGATGAGCTGCTGGATTTTTTTTTTTCAAATCATTTAATGTGTATGCAGCTATCTAGCTATGGCACATGACCGGTGCTATGTATACATGAAGGATGACTCTTTTGACGTTAGACACTCATACTCTGGATTTTATATGGGGGACTATTCTCAACACCTGTCAGTGGTGTCCCCTACGAACCTCCAGCTCTCACTGTAGAGTCTGCAGAGCCGAGATTGAGTAACAAAGTCCTCACTTGGAAGAGGATTCCCAATCGCTTTCGCGATCAGATGGTAGGGTCGGAGCCCTACTCGTCACCCACCCTTGATCATGGAGGAAAAGCCATCCGATGAGTTTCCGGAGCGTACCCAGCACCCGATACGGAGATGGTGGATTGGATCAAGTCGACCTCGACTGTTACAAAGAAGGGAGATATAGATGAATATGCGCACCTCATGTGGTCCCGGTGTCTAGGCCTCGCCTGGCTGGGGCTGCAGGTTTTTTGAGACTTTTTCCCGCGCACGCAGTTTCCATTGCTACCATTTTTATTTTTTTGGGTAGAAGGTTCCGTGGAAAAGGTGGCTGAATTCCACGGGTAAATACTGAGCTGAATGGCTATTCATCAAGGGGAATACATCAATGATCTTTCAAGTAACAAAAGAGGATAGGAGCACTGTACAAGGTGTGGCCTGGGTCAGAGAGGAGCCCAATGTGCTAGATAGTCATAGACTCAAGTAGTATAATAAAACACACAAACACTCTGGATTTTATTCGCAAATACAGGCTGGAGCACAGACGCTGTTCATCTACTCTACAATCTCTGCAACTGCCGACTGGAGTGAATAAATCTATCAAAATAATACCATACTTCACACCATCTATTAGATGATATTATTAATCTTCGGGATGCTCATGTAGCATTGCCTTCGTAGATCACGACTGTCAGTAAGAGTTCACATTTGATACCTACTGACACGCACTCAGCGTCCATCGTGCCATCTCCGCGACTCACCATTGCACATGAGCCCGTGCCACTCCCCCGAAGGACAGCAGAGTCATAATTGCCATACACCTCACAGCTCATAACCACAACAAATAACCGGTGGCTAGATTTTTATTCACCAGCCCTGTTAACATTGGAATTGCCGGGGTTTTTTTGCATCAAATTTTAATTTCGTATGCAGCCATGTAGCTTTGACACCATATCAAAGAAAAAATTACTCAATGACTAAATTTAAAACTAGAGCACTCCCACCCTGGATTTCATTTGCAAGTACCTCTGCGAAGTTATGGTGGCTTTTTCTTCACCCCAAGTCAACCCTTATCCGTGAATACCCACCCAGAGGAACATCTCAATAACCCTGAGTTATCCAGACATGCCTCCGTCATCTATTTACTTTCCTCCGTGCGAAATGTGATCTGAGATGTCTCCTTCCCAAGTGGAGTAGGTGCCCAGGCTACTCAAACTATACCAGAGAACATCACCAGGAGGCGGACCACTGAAGAGTCTGCCCAGCTGTCCGCCACGTCCGCCACAAAAGCACTTGATTCGAGTGATACTATCGCATTCTACCTACGACATTTTACTGACAAATTCATCTCTCAATCACCCATGCCGCCCCAGTCCTCCGCAGAGGCTGGCCCCTGGCCCCCCCTCCCCACTCAATGTTCGACGCGTCAAGACGTCGAAATGGTCCTTAACGGGCCACAACCGCCATCACAACCACCCACCCAACAATTTGTAGAGCCAATCTACGAGGCGAGTCATCGAAGCTCGCCCCACCAACAAACTCCGTCGCCTCAAATTGTCGCGACCGAATTCCTCGCCGAATAGGGCAGGATATTCCAGACGCGCTCTGCACAAGCAGAGCGTTTCATCATCGGGTTCTGCAAGCTGTTGGAACCAGTCACTGACGAGAGACTTCGAAAACTCTTTGATCAGGACTTACTGGCCCTTCAGGGCAAGATACTGGAAATTTTATGGGGCAATCCATCTCAAGCAGACGCCAACGCTCCCCCAAAGGCTGCAAGCGGCCATACTAACACATCTAACCCGGCTCAAGTTACAGAGCCTCCAAAACAAAGTCCTGCAAGCGTCACACGTCCAGTGCTGATCCTTGCCAGAGAAAAGAATAGAGCGGCAACACAAAGGCCGGTAGCCACAACCGCAACTCTCCAGCCCAACCAGGGCTCAAGCAAAACCAACAACAACGCTACAGAGAAATCTTGGACCGAGGTGTTGGGAAAAAGAAACAAGCCAGCAAACCAAGTGGCTCCAACTTCAACACTCAAGACAGTGCCAGTGAGGCCCGTCTCCGTGCCGAAGCCTAAAGCTCCAGCAACAAACCCCCAGCGACCTGACGAGCGCGTATTTTTGCGCCTCAAACCTGACCACCCGTGGAGACGTATGTCACCCTACTTCGTAAAGATTAGCCTAGCTAGCAAGCTGCGTCTGGCCAACTCGACAATCAAACAGGTCACTGTCGTGAACTCAGGGTTCGCAATACAAGCCGAAGGGGAAGGAGCTAGAGGTGCACTTCTCTCAGGAGGAGCCATCTTAGACAGTTCTGAAATGAAATTGGAAGCCGCCTCCAACTGGATATTAGCCCTGCCACCGAATATCCCAGACAAGCTTTACACTCTGGAAGGGCCCACCATAGTGACACCAGAAATGGTAATAGAAGAAGCAGCCCTCAAAACAGGAGTTAGAACAACCTCAGCTCGTGCTTTCGCTACTAGCATGGCCAGGCCGTCAACGGACTGGGTGTTGCACTTCGCAACAGGAAAACCGAAACTTGGAGAAAGACTGTTTGAAGAAAGCGGGCGCCTTCACGAACTCCAGCGCAAGCTCAAAATTGCGCAATGCAACCGATGCTGGGGACACCACCCAACTAAAATATGTTTACGAGCAGAGCGCTGCACCCGCTGTGGCTCAATTGAGCACAAAGCTACTGAGTGAAAACAGACCGTTCCAAGGTGCATCAATTGCCACGGGCCACATGCTGCAACTGAGCCTAACTGTATGGCTAGGCCGACACGGGCTGGTGGGAAGACGGTGCAACGCACAAGAGACCAGCTGGCGGTAATTCGCGAACAAGGTCAAAAGGAACGGAACGCTTCGATCAGAGAGATGGAAGCAAAGCAGAAAGCCACCGAGGCTACTGCCGAAAACGAAAATACAAACATTGCTCAATGCCCGTAAGGGACCACAACCCAACCGAGCTTCAACAAACGGCAACAACAATATCTTTCCTCTGTGCTAACTTGGGCAGAGGAGACCCCGCTACGGACATCATCCTGCAATCCGCTTGGGATTCAGGAACCGATGTCCTACTTATCCAGGAACCCTGGACCCAACGTAAGGACGGCCTCTGGCTCACCAAGTCGCATCCCGGATTCGATAGGCATTTGCCTCCCCGTGTCGCTGCTAACTCTTCAAGGCCACGCTCCCTCATCTACACGCGAAAAGGGATCCATTGCCAACAGCAAGCAATCTGCGAGACATCACCAGATCTCACTGCAGTAAAGGTAGAAGGAGTCACATTTGTCTCCGTATATCGCGCTCCTGGAGCAGACCTTTTGCCGCTGCTATCATGGGCTCCATCTGGGCCTACAGTTATTGGCGGAGACTTCAATGC